TTTTTTTTTTTGTCCTTTGTTTCGTTCTTTGTCGCGCAGCGCCGATGTGCCGCCGTCGTTGGGGCGCGTGAAAGGTGGCGCCGTTTCCAGGAATACGAGAACTGCGAAAGTAGGCGGGACTGGGGGGATAGTCTCGATGTCAATGCGGTAAACATTATTCCTGTCTCTTGGGTCGGGTCGCTAATCCGTTATCGGATTGATTTGAGATACGTTGTTTGTTGTGGAAAGTAAGTGACTGGCGACGTGCGTCAGTCGTTTGGATAAATAATAATTCGTCGAATAATGTGTATTACAGACGAATGTCGTAATGTTGTCGATTGTGATTCGGGCCGTGTCGAAGTAGCAGTGGGATTGCCTTGAAAGTATCTGGCGATAAATTTAATTATTCGTTGAATTTGCTTGGCGCCCGTTTTTACTGTGTAAGAAATTTTCATTAAAAATCGCACTAATGCGAAAGCCGATATGTGTCGGATAGGTTTTTGTGATCATTGCGATTTATCTCTTGGCGCCATAGTAGTCGATATTTTTATTTCGTGTTAATTAGAAATTAAATATCAATCAATGTACCGAGAGGAAAAATTAAGAAGGAACGTTATTTAATATTGGAAAAGTCGTTGATTTGCTTTATTGCATTTATTTTCGTCAATAAAATTTATAATGGATAATTTTCCTTTGAGTAATACATTATTTGTATCGTGTCATTGCCAGGTTGGCAATTACGTTGAAACTGAACTAAATTCTATGTTTGGCTTAATATTCAAGTTATACCGGCTCACGACTAATTACTTATACAGTTAAGAAGAACTTTTTATGCTCATTGCTTGATGTTATCGATTATTAGATAATCGTCATCCCTCGAATCGCCCATCTTTGCTCATATTTGTGACTCAAGCAAATAAAATTATAAGCATATCCCAAAGTAATTGGATTTTAGGCAACAATTTACAGGAGTAAATATGCCTATAAATATGCTTGTAAATAAGTGAAAGTAGAGTAGCGCAGTAAAAAAATTGTGCTTCGTTTATGTTCTTCGAAACTATTTAATTTATTTAGACACACTTAAAATTATGTCAAAGTAATAAAAGCGAATTCTGATTACTTTTAACACACATGATTAATGAAAAAATGAAAACAACGTGACTCATAAAAAAATCTAATTTTTTTAAAGAACGAAAAACTCATAAATGTTCTTTAAATGTCGATGATAAATGCGCGCGATACTCATGGAAAAAACATAATTAAAAATATTTAATAAAACTTAGTAATTTAATGCGTTAGGGAATGGATGAACGCATGTCGAGCGATTCGCATAAAAATATTTCGTTGTGATTATTAAGGCGATCGTGGCCGTTATTCAATACTTCCAACACTCTTTAACATAATCGTAAATTTATAACAACAACACTATTTGATTAATTATCTGGTGGCGCACCATGTTGCCATCGACACTTTTCAATGTTAATAATGACCTTTAACAAGTCAAAAGCTTATAAAATTGCGCGAGCATCGTTTCATCGTATTAACTCCGTGTGTGTACGTGCGTGCGCGCGCGCGCGCTTGTAGGCACATCTGGATATGGATTTCCAAAATAGGCTTATTGGCGCATCATTTAACAAAGGAAAGAGGCGGCCTACGTTTTCAAGGAAATAAGGAAACGGGCTTCAACAATTTTCCATTTTCGCTCGTCGGAACGAGAAAACCTTCACGAAATCTCCGCGCGAGAATTTCCATTTCCGGAGGCGCATTAAGCATAATAGAAAGAAAGCGCGTGCGAGCAGCCATCGAGTTATCAAAAACAATTTTCAAGCAGAGCAAAAGAAACTCTCGAGCGGCAATAATTCCTCCTACTTTTTAATTTTTTTCTCATTTATTTGTTGTTGTTGTTGTTGTTGTTGTTTGTTTTTTCTTTTCCGTTTTCTTTGTTTTGTGTGTGTTTTGTTATTGTTTTTGTTTTAAGCGCCCGCTTTATTGAGTCGGAGCGCGCCTTATTAGACGTGTACGTGTATAATTCTTGACTCCTTCCTTCTCACGTACGCCTTTACCTCAAAAATATCAATTCGACGGCCGCTGCCGCCACACTCACTACTTTGCATATTTACGATTGCGAGTCTTATCGCGCGCGCGCTTTTTCTCCTCTTGTTGCCGTTGGCGGGGCGGAAGAGAAAAAAGGAAGGAACGCGAAATAACGAATAATAAGCGTGAGCAGCCTGCACCACTGCTAATATCATCGTGTAAAGAGGGGGAGGAGGTTAAGTCAGAGAGAGAGAGAGAGAGAGTGAGTGAGGGAGCAAGTGCGAGAGCGAGCTAGATGGGCAGGGGGAGGAGGGGGCTTTTGTTTAACGGCTCGAGCACGTAGTCAAGCGATTCGAGTTGTGTATAGGCAAGAGCGCAAGTGTTATCTGCTTCTCCTTCTCTTTCTCTTTCTTTTCAATTTTCTCCGGGATGCATATTACACTGCTTTTTTCTTCCTTATTTTATTTTTTCTCTTTTCCATTCTTTTCATTTCTTTCTCTCTCTCTCTCTCTCTCTCTCTCTCTCTCTCTCTCTCTCTCTCTCTTCCCTTTCTCGTTTCACTTCGTTCAAGTAGAGAGCCTTTAACGCTCGTTGCATGCGTTGCGAGTATTTTCGAATTCTCTTTCTTTGCCTGAGCTGCTGCCCGTGTTGATCTTAACTCGGCTTAGAGAAGTGATTAATAATGCGCGGCACGATTCCTACGCCCGACTTTATATTCGACGTAATAAAGACTAATGTCCGTTCTATATTTAAATGGCAATTATATACGCGTAGCGTGGAATGCGATAAAGACGCAACCATATTCACCGCCTCGCTATTCGCAAGTCTTCGCCCATCGGCGTAGGATGTGCACTTTATAGAGGCAATTTGAATGAGACTCGCGACGATCGTCCCACTGGAGCGTGAAGTTTCGCGTTCGGGGCCGACGAATCGATGCTTCTTGAGAATGCTTCTTGAAATGGCAGGGGACGAATATCGCGCTTCCCGAGCGGATTCCACATTTAATGGTAGTTTGCAAATCAAATGGCCGCTATCAAAGCCACTCGTGCGCTCATGGATAATGCCGGTCGACGCAATTACGGGAAGGTGGAAGATTGGCGTGGAAGGCGGGGCTACGGACGAAGCGAATGCCGCCTCGCTCTCTCGTGCCTCCAGTGAATTGCGAAGCGTTCCGTAGGGAAGAGCCTGCCGAGCCGTAGGGTCCGTAAATGGATTTTTCATATTTCGCCCCGGTGACCTGACTGACCCCTAACCCCTCGGCATCGTCGCTCCGTATTAGCATAGTGGCCGTAAGTCCGAAATCCGGAACGAAATACCACGAAAGATCCTCTGGAAAAACTTTGGAAAAAATCTGGAAAAATAATGGTCAGGCGAATGGTGATGGCTAAACGTAGACCGTGGAGAGGGGATGGGAAGGAATATGAGCAGGATAACAAAACCCACGCTACCATGAGCGAAACTACAGGGCTTTGGAACAAGGGCGATCACTACTAATTACTTCGCACTCTGATCCATTCTTCTCGCCGCGATAATTATTATTATTATTATTATTATTATTAGTGTGATATATATATATATATATATATATATATATATATGCATGCTGGCGCCGGGCGTTTAAAATGCATTAGGCGAGCCATGATTGAGCGAATATGCGCTCAAAGAGGACGTACGCGTTCGGTTCGGGCCTTCGTTTATTCGTTTGTTTGTTTGTTTGTTTGTTTGTTTGTTTGTTTGTTTGTTTGTTTGTTTGTTTGTTGTCTGTATGCGTGTTTGCGTGTTTGTGTATGTCGTGCTCATGCGAGCGGTTAATTTAGCTTTCTCGTTATTATTTTGAAAATGCAACGTTTGAAGCGGCCCTGTCCGATCGTCGAAATGTTGAAATTGCAGGTTACGCGAGATATTTTGTATAAGCTTAGAGTACTTTAAAGATTAGGTAAAAAAAAAAAAAAAAAAAAAAAAAAAAAAACAAAAACAAAAACAAAAAATGAAAAAAGAAAAAAAACAGAAATTAAACTCTCTGCGTACCAACAAATTGTCTACTGCCGTTAATAATCTAATGGCGAATTACATAAGATATCCAACGCAGCCTCATATTAAACTCGAGTACGTATATAGAATTTACGAGGATATAAAAGTGTCCGGTGCCTATGTAGTACAGCCACGATTTCTCGAAAATCACATAAAATAAGTTCTGCCCCGAGTGTCTATAACGGCCGAGTAAAAAAACGAAGAAAAAAAAAACAACAAAGAAACAAGAAAGAAGGAAAGAAAAATCCAAAGACAACGATTTCATTCGGCACATGTGTTAACGCCCTTTAATTGACGATTCCAAGCCTAAATTACAATCGTTCCTCGCATCGCATTAAATCCTCCACCTCTCGCATTAAATAAGACATACGGCAATGCTCGTAGAGTCCAATAAAAGTCAAGAGTCGATTCGCGGCTCTCGCTCTCTATAGAAACGAGCCGATCGTGGCCAACCGCCTCTCGATCGCTCGTCGAAAGGGGATCGAGCCAACGAGGCAGCCTGGGGTTTATAGTATCGCGTGGGGCGGCGGAGGGGGGATGGCGGTGGCTGGGGCTGACTGGCGGTTGGATTACTTCAGCCGCTCGGTGGGTGTGACGACGGGGCGGCGGGAGGGTATGGCCAAGGCGAGTCCCCGGTGGTATCGCCATTATAAAAGCAATTAGACGCCTTCGGATTAGATACGGCGCATCGTACATAACAAATATGATAATGCGGGAGGAAAGGAGAGAGGGGCCCCGGGGCGATCGGTCGGGGCCCAGTCGCGTGCGCGCGCCAGCGCTTAAACGCTCTCATTAATAATCGGGCCTAACTAATCTGCCTGTCGCTACGAGCGCACGAATTTTCCCCGGACCGCTTGCCCTCTCTATCTCTCTTTCCACGAAGGTCCGCGTGCACCCGCGAACAACACCACGAGCCTCATTGTTCACATTGGCAACTCTCCCTCTCTCTGTTGCAGTTGTACGAGATCAATGATGATCCCAAGAGGAAGGAATTTCTCGATGATCTCTTCAGTTACATGCAGAAGAAAGGTAAGTGACACGTAATAATTCTTTTAATCCTTGATTATTATTTGGACGATTGTTCCGTATTCATTAGGCCATTATAATGAGACACCAGCTGAGCCCCGTATGCTTAATGCTCATTGGGGTAGGTAGTGGTGGCGGTGGTGGTCGTGGTGGTGGTGGTGGTGGTGGTGGTAGTGGTAGTGGTAGTGGTATCAATGGATGTAATGGGTGAGTGTTTGAGAGTGGAAATTGGGGTTGGTAGGTGGGGATGGGGGGAGGGTATTATCATGGGCGAAAGGGCGAACGAGAAGCGCATCGCTAACGGAATCACGCAGAGTTCGCTGATCCACGAGCGCAATTCCAGCCGAGACTCGAGGATAATAGTCGTACTTTCGGAATGGATAATATTTGACCTTGAATGGATGCTTCCTCGTACGATGTATTTTAAATACGTCTAAACACTCCTGTCCAGGGGGCATTCCGTAAACTGCCGGTCCTCGTGGTGTCTCGAGGGGCGGGTGGAGGAGAGGCGAGAACGGCGAGGTAACAACGCTCGCGGCTACGCCGAACCCTTTCTAAGCAAAATTGTTCCACTACGAAGAGGAGCCGAGTGGTGTTACCGCGTAGGAGATGATTGCCTCCGTGCCAGGAGGCGGAGTGCTCCAGTAGCCGACACTTTCATCGTCCGAGCGCAACCGCCTCACCTTCGTCATCGATAGTGCTTAGCCAAAATAGTAGTGGCATCTCACGGGGGCTCGTTCCTCCTCTTGGTTATTGGGAAATTTGAAAATTTTGCATCTGCGATTTAATGCAATTTATCGAGAACATTAGCGGCATTAGGGCTGGCGCGAGCGGGAAAGAGACCGAGAAGCCTCGTTTCCAAGACCAAGCCAACGGGTTTCCCATTTGAATGAGAATGGAAAAAGTAAGGGAGACTCGAGGGGAGGCGAGCACATGCCTTATCACACCTGCGCGATCCGTTTCCTTCGATTCGCGACGGCCGCCGCCATTCGCAATACGTCACGTGCGGCCGCTCAACGTGAATTACAAGAAATACGTTTCAGCGGCGATACGCGGTTTTTAATTCCTGCTTCAATTACCTCGACACGTCTCGAGGCATTAACTCGGCCCCCGGTGGGATGGAATTAACATAGCGGCGATGCCGGCGGAAATAAGACCGCGTTAACGCTGCATCCTTTGTCCTCGTCCGGGGCCGTATCGGCTTTTCTCACGCGGCTCGGCGGCAGCTCGCGATGCGGGCCGTACGGAAGCGCAGGTGCTATCGATGTCCGTGGATTAGGCGAGGACGTTGCCAAGCGAGAACACCTCCATATGTTCAATAAGGTCCTTGGGTACGATAGGACGTGTCCATGCCACCTCGGCCGTTATCGCATTCCGCTTCCCAAGTACCTTTTAATTATCCATTCGACGTTGTTTGGTCGAGAGGTACTTTTTACCGCTGTGCCTCGGTCGATGCGATCCCAGATGGACGATCGTTGGACGATCGTTGGACGATAAGCGCAGGACGTCTTTGAGAATAATGATTCGGAGATTTGACGTAAGGCGGCGACGTCGTTGTCACTACGCATCCAAATGCCAACGTCTCGCTCCCGTTGCGGATTAAACGAGCGCGCGTTGCAGTGCGCAATCGTTGCAAAAAGTACGCTGCTAGTTACGTGGGAACGACGAGGCGAAGCGGCCCGAGGACATTGACGTTGTGCAGGACAAAGAAACGAGAGAGAGAGCCTCTCGGGCCAATCGCATTCTTAATTCCCATGGTGTACCATAACAGTAGCGAGCGGCCCTGGAAGAATATTTGATATTTGCCAAGGAGGGGAATGTAAGAAGCCGGTGCTGGACTGTATGAAAATTTCAATAAAACGGGGAAAAGCAGAGGTGACCGATAGCGTTTATCACATAAACTCTAAGCAGCATTGAACTCTAAAAAGCATTGAAAGGCTCGTAAATAGCCGGAATTTTCTCGCTGTTAGATGATGCGCGCGAAATTTCGTAGGAATATCGTTCGGTCGGTTAGCGCTTAAAGTCTCCGTCATAGTTTGCCGCCGTAGCTGAATAATGAAGGGGCTGATGCAATTAGTGCGTAAGAAAATTGAAAATTCAGTTGTGCCTTATTGGATTAGTCGAATATTATTGTCGTCGGTCTGAGTTTGCGCGTTTCCCGAGGTGGCTAATATGCGAGAGTTTTGGCGATTTTGCGTGAATTTCATTCAGGGCGATTCAATTAATCAGGCGATTATATTAATATTTTGCTGACGATGATTAGTATTCACCGAGGCAATAGAGACTGCAAAAATGTCCTTTGAATCGGCTAAGAATCATGTAGAAAATTTGGTGGATGTAGGATTTGGTATTATTGTAAGACTAAATGTCGTTATTGTTTGTTTGGTTATGGAAATGTAGACGAGTATGGTTGAGTTCGTTTTATAAATTGCGTGATCCGAAGAGGTTAAGAATTTGGCAAAGATTTCTTTGAATCAATGTACTAATGCCAATTTAATATAATGCTAATCTAAATTTTAAGTTTGAAATATTAAAGACCAACGATTAAGTGGTTAGCCGTTTTATATTGTAATTAATTGAAAAACGCTGGTGGCGAACGAGACGAGCGAGCCAATAGTGTCTATAATAATAATACCTCGGCTTCCAAGAAAATCTTACCTCGAAGTCTATTGGTTTATAATCAAATCAAATAATTGCTCAACTAAAAAAACGCAATTAGAATCGAGAGCGAGATTCCGTCAAATATTATCGTATATATGAAAGCCCTCGAGAGAGTATTTCTCGATTTCTTGGGCATTGCGGCTCGACTTCAAAAATCCATAAAATCCGGTTCCTTCGACATTTCAAGCAAAGATAAATAAAGGCCATCGAGGCTTCTCTCTCTCTCTCTCTCTCTCTCTCTCTCTCTCTCTCTCTCTCTTCGTTTTGAAACAGCGGCGCTAAGTAAACGAATGATTCGTCAAGTTTTTGACGTTTCTTTATAAATACATGAGTGTTCGATGTGGGGAGAATTGGTGGCAGAGAGAGAGAGAGAGAGAGAGAGAGAGAGAGAGAGAGAGAGAGAGAGGGAGAGAGAGTGAGACTGGGAATACGATGGTTAAGTAGGGGACAGGGAGGGGGCGGGGGATAAATAGGATTGAGTGAAGCAGAGGCAATTGGTAGGTGAAAAGTAAGTTAACATATATAACTTACGTAATGGGAATTGCGTCGAAAAAATAATCGCCTAATGATAATTTATTATAAAGTTGGCTTGTTAAGAGCGACTTGACTCGAATACTATTTGGATTATATTCGCATTAATTACATTCTAAATGCTCAGGAAATATTAAACCAAGGATAAATAACGGCTTTGATCATTATTTAGTTAAGAAAGCAGAGTAGTAGTGCACGTCTCACTACATCTATCGCCGCAAACGAGCATTGTATCGTATATTTGCGATTATACGGGCTCGTGACTAATAAACTTCGTCTCTCGCGGTTTATTCGAGCGACTAGCAAATTTTGCTACTTTTGGGGACAAGCGATACGATATGCGTACGAGAGAACGTTAGATTACAATAAGGACGGCTCATTATCGTCGGGGCGGGGGGGGGGGGGGTAGGGAAACATTGTTGCGGTCCGGAGCAATTATTCAGAGGGACCGATTCGTAAACACGGAGACGACAACGGCGCGACTTTCACAGGCCGTTAAGTCCGTAAAAAGTGCATGGGGAGTGTGGGGTAGGCGTGAGGAGGAGGAGGAGAGAAACATAATCCGCGATCCAATTTCCTCTAATTATTGCTGCGGTCGCGCATGCTACGACACGTTACAATAATAGCAACCCGTGAAACATTGGCGCGAGATACTAGAATACGTTGGAATAAAGACAGAGAGAGAGAGAGAGAGAGAGAGATCGCATCTTCAAGCGGTTGATTGATGGAGGAGTCACCATGTTTATAATTAGAGGCCCCGTGCGCTTTGGTTTCCGGTCCCGGCGCCGCCTCGGAATCCGAAAGCGAAAGCTCAACGGCGCACGCGCGCGTATCCCACTTTTCCAAGTCGAACCTCGTCAAATTAACTTGACTTGACTCCGATATGCCCGAGTATTTATAGATGTATGGACGTGACTTAATTGCAATTCATTATGCTCGCACGAACTCTTTACGCGACGTCACTTTAACGCGAGCACCGCTTGCAATTACAGGGGCTTATGATCGTTTCATTCTACATTTGTTTGTTGCAGCCTGACAAAGGAAATCCAAGATCCAAATGAAAATATCGTCGAATAAAGTGTTGGCCTTCGGCTTGCCGACTGAAATTATTATAATTTAGCTATTGGCTGTCGAAAGCCATCCTTTCAAATTTACTTGCAAACATTATTTTCAATCTCGCGACGTTTGACATCATCTTTACATGGCCGCAAGCGCGAAACGAAGCGTAGATACAAGTTGAGCAACCACTCCATCTTATTGTTGATCATACGATTACAATTATTTCATCAATTTATGAAGTGATAAAACATTTTTATGGCTTATCGGCAAGCCTATACACGTACTTTTTACGACTATTTGCCAAAAGTTGCGTGCACAAATTTTTAGGAAATCGTACGATTATTTTAATCGCATAATGATTACAATTAGATGAAGCAAAGTTTCCCACAATAGACTATAAAAGTGGCTCGATCTTCGCAAAATCTGAACCGCAATTATCAGATGCGGAAACTACACCCCGACCTTCTTCTTCTCTCATTCACAAATTATCCTTTTATATTTTTATATTAACAATGACGAGGAGTAATGCTCGAGTTGTCTGAATACTAATAGTTAGATCATAAACGAGTCGTACACACTTCCGTGTCGGCATCTCGGATCTTGCATCGTTTTGAAGAAAAGTCGCTGATTTCGTCAAAGATGCTAGCGCACGTCGCTGTATCATTGTATTCATTAGAATGGCAACGAAGGGCTCGATAACGAAGAAATTTACGAACTCGATTTTCGACCTTTTCGACAATTTAATCTAACTC